TATATATATATGTAATTTTTTTTACTACTTACTTCCCATATATTTCCAAAACGTCTGACGACCATCATTCTGGACCACGACCTTGGCCGTCAAGAAGTCTTTTTCTATTGATACTACAACTACACACTTCGGCAAGTTTCAGTGCCTTTTTCAGGAGACACAGGACAGTCGTTGACGTGACATCCTCCCCTTACGTCACTGTCCTGCAAACTGTCCCGCAGGCGAATTCTAGTCTTCTGATACACAGTGTCCGTTAGCTACCTGATTTGAGCTGGCGGTCCGGGAGGATGGTTTGCTATTCTCCGCCCTCTTCTATCTAGACGCCGTCACCGTTTCTTCCTGGTTATTCGACATCGTCCTGCTCAGGCTCATCAACCATTGAGCCAAGTAGCCAGCCACCAAGCCAAGCTGAGTCCTTTTCATTTATCGCATCCTGCTTCTTCTCCTTGTCTTTTTACTCCTCGGCTGAAGAAGGGACAGCATGAGCGCTGTCCCTTGGACACCAGTTACAACGAAAAGATCGCACTTGGCCGCGATCCAACTTTTCAATTTGCGCGTTTGCGCTACACCCGGCGCTGCCACAACGACTACTACAACTAGCCCTCATGCTTGGAATCTGGGGTCAGACCTTGCTCGGCTCCTCGACACTGCCGCCGGTGATTTTTGCTATTGCTGTGCTACCCGTGTCGCAAGGCGTATATATTCGAGTTGGACGGGACAGGGAGATCTGTGCGGAAGGGACATTGTTACTTTTCTCCCTTCTTGTTAAGTCGTTCATACTCACCCCCGGTTGTTCTCAAACTGCTTCTCGAAAAGTAAGCTGTCCTGCCTGCTCTCGTGTTCTCTCTTTGTGTCTGCAAGCTCTGCCTGCGAATTTGCCCCAGTGTGTGACCGAGTCTACATCATCTCTGGCTAGCCAGCCGACTCGGCCTGTAGCTCCTCTTTCACAATTCTTCTCCCACCGCTGCCGGTATTACTAGTGCCGTTTCGATGACATGAACGAGAAGCGAAGGAAGAGTGGCTGTAGGAGTTGCTCAGAGGCCAATCGAGCATGTCATTTGTGTGTTGTGTGGCTTGGTCCACAGCTCGTCGTGGCGGGACGGCACCATCTTTTTGAATCGTAGCTGCTGGCTAAGTAGATCTTCCATTCGGGCGCTGTCGCAGTAGGCGACAAGTAGCAGTAGGAGTGTCGACGGCGGCGGCAGCAGAAATAGTCGTTGAGTTCCCCAAGTCCTTACTTTCAAGATCCATCGAGCGAACTCCGCAAACAAAATCTTCTTTCCTATATAGATGGGTAGGCTACCCGCACTCAAGAACGTGTAAGGCTGATGCCTGTATGGCGTGACGCTCTAGTTACTGCAAGTACATACGAGCGAGAGTTGCATCTTCCTTTCTTCACAACTGAATCGTGCTGCGAAGCCATTCGTTCGTTGTCAGCCCTGTAAGTACACTTATGAAAATTATCATCATCCAGATATGTATAAATTACAATAAAGAAGTGGCAAATATACGACTCATAACGGCTGTAACAATACTGGACGGGTGACGGGAATAAAAGACACATGATAAAATTTTAACTAGGGCAAAGTGAGGCAAGATTAATTTCCTCACATGTTACAGAAATATGTCTATAGTGAAGTCGATTAACGGCCAGAACAATGATCTGATAGGCCATAAAAATACTTTAAGCATAAGTGAGCATAAGTGTTTATAATTCTTCTGCAGATTTGCAGCTAACAGGAAGTGTTGAAGGATTTGTACTTTCATACGTTTAGATGTACCACTCAATGAAGGTATAATTTCTTGTGCAAACAAATACGTTGCTTTAGAGGATACCGCTTCGTGAAATCTAGAGTACTAATAGCACTTAGATGGATCATTGGTTCTCTACTTATAAACTATAGAAGCCAGGCGTAATCATTAACATTCAGTACTAAAACTGATCAACAGGCCTCTCTATGTTTTGAGTTACGTTTGGTATTGCTGTTAAGCATTCCACCACACAGCAGGCCAATAGACACTGTCGAAAATCGACTAACCAACCTCGACAAACTCAAGGCTTAGCTATCACTCTGACGCTTTACAAAGCCTTCTGATAAGGTGACGTTTTACAATTTGCGATGTAATTTACTCTCTAGTACTACGTAATTGCCTATTGAGCCTAATTCTACGCTTGTCAACATTGCCGTTAGAGATATTTGAATTGAAAGAGAGAAGTCCGGTTTTGCGGACCGCATTTTCAGGTGATGATGGCGCAAAATAGCGCGCAGCGTGGCGCGGCCAAGTTCGGCTTACAATATATATATGTAAGCCCTAATCATTTGGCTGTCTACTTGCGCTATCACAGACACCTTTAAAAAAATGGCATGATAGAAAAAGAATGTCTGACGATGACGTAACGTTAACACGACAACACGGTGCCGGCTGGAGCTAGGCTCAACTGTATTAAGACAACCTTTCCATGGCCATTTCTACGGAACAGCTAAACCAACGTCCTCCTAGGGGAGAGCTAGGGGTTTCCTGATTTTAGTTAGATAGCTCAAATGGCAATAAGTAATCTTTACTCAAAATCTCAAAAGTAGATAAGAGACCCAAAGCTCCACAATAGGTGAATACCGGGAAGTCGGTACCCACACATCGATTGATAAAAACTAGTTGGGCGACTTTATTGGGCGCCCAAGGATCATACGAGGTCAAACAAAGCTGATTTGACCATTCTATCACCTCCGATGCAGCGTTATTTCTCAAAAACAAGTCCTACAACAATGTTCCGACAAAGCTGTTGAACTTTTAATCTATAAATTGTAGCTGGGGTAGCAGTACAACTTTCCTCGTCTGCATTTACCATCTTGTTCCACTTTTTATTGTTGTTGTCTTAGCTAGCTTACCTCTCCTTACATTAGTACTTTGACTAGTTGGAAGCCAATGATATTTGTTTTCCCTTGATAAATGCAACTTCAGCATAAGCGTTTACTAATCAACATCCACAACCCAAGCTTACATTAGCCCATGTGCGAGAATATTATGAACGTTGTCATGGGTAAGTGAAAATCCTTTTGTTTTGCCTTCGTTGATTTTTTATGCCTCCATTCATCCGTTGCTCAAGACTTGACGAAAGGAGTATTAACGGCGACAGCATCGCCTCAGCAGTAGTAGTGGGAAATAGTTGTAGAGCATTATACACACATTGGCCATAAACCATGAGTCGTAAGCAAAGAACGGCAGTGGCCTGTAGCGGTTACCAGTTGGCCTCCTATTATAATATAGAGTCAGGCGTGGGTCGTTTAACAAGTGGAAAGACGTAAAGTGATAGGGCCTGACAAACTGGCCGGCTGCTAATTGTCTTTTCGCTTGCTTGCCTGACTGCCTGGGCATTGTTTGCTCCGTAAGTCTTTCGGCAGTAGAAGGCCAGGTAGGCACAAGGGATGGGGTCGGGCAGAGAAATGTAAAAGTAACTTCAGTAATAGAGGGGAAGTGTGGTGTAGTTACTCTATGAGATTTCTTGGGTCGGTGCGTTGGCACTTTTGTGGCATGACCGATCTCCCTTGCTAGGTATCGCCCCCCCCCCCCCCCAAACGTGTTTCAGCTGAAATAATCAGTTGAATTGGACGGAATGACGGTTTAGCCACTTTCTCACATTGCCGAGTCATGTTATGGCGTTTCAACAGTAAGTCTGCTCTCACTAGCTGCTTGACGTGGATAGCGAATTGAAAGGCAGCAGAAGGAGGTCCGTGCTTTTTTAGCAGGCGGCAGCCTTAGAGTCAACAACTTCGTTTTGTATGAGTTGTTGACTCCAAGAACGAAGATGAGACTGGGTTTACGACTACACTATAAGAAAGGACATCAAATGGCGAAATAAGTTTCGTGTAGATCACACGCTCAACAAAAATACTACAGAGGGAACACGACGAACAGGAAGTGGTTGACAATGTTGTTGACCAAAAAGGACTTGGGCCCCGTTTAGCTTCACGGTGTTCCTATCATTTCCTATACCTATTTTACCTCGCAATACTAAAAAATTTAAACTGTTTTCAGCGCAATATAGGCAGTTACATTGAAGGTTCTTACTGCTGTAGTGTTAACAAGCACTGTTCCCACGAAAAGTGACACTATCTCAAACATCATTGTCACTATCATTTCAAGCAGTAATATGTAGCACCAATCACGCAAGAAGGTCCGGATAGGACAGAATGACAGCGTTCGTTGGCAGGACTAGGGAAAAGCAATAGAGGTAGAAGATGGTAAGTGCAGTAAGACACAGAGACGAAGAAAAGTAGGATGGACACGAAGCGCATAGACGGAAAATAAAAGTCAGTTGAGCTTTTGCTACGTTGAGCCAACGCTACATCAGCCATGTGGAGTAGCAGTGGTAAACGTATGTTCCGTTTAACGCAGTGCATGCGAAAGGACCGGGCAACTAGGCTCGGTGACGAGGAGCAGTAACTACGCAGTTTTCTCACGTCGAGCTAACTACAGCGGCGCAGCTCGAGACGTAGTCTAAAGGCATGATGGGATTGAGCGGAGCTGCTACTGAGCTAGTTCGCTGAGTTCGTTGGTACATAGGCTCGAAGTAGAAAAAACCTCCTCGCATTACGTTCGGGTCTCCATATACAACTAGTACGTTCTCGTTTCTTTCTCGTCGTTTTCCGCGTGAGCATGGCTAAACAAACGTACCTTCCGTCTCTTTCTCTCTTCAGCTGTAAATGGCGCTCAATCTGCGCCAAGTCTCCATCGCACGGTCGCCGTCCTTCATTCTCACGCCAATACTACCTTTGAGAGCTTATCTCGCTGAGCTACTATCAGAGCTACGGCACAGGGCAGAGAGTTTTGCCTTCAGGCTGATGGCGTTTGAGGCGAATGGGGTTAACGGTCTGAAAGGAAAACACTGGACAGCCTGTAACAAGAGGCGTATAATGCATCTACTGTTTCACGCAAAGGGTTGGATATGACAAAAAAAACGGGCTATCATTGATTCGATGATTTTTCAGTTTAGTCACCATGCTAGTATAACGTATGCCGAACTTGTTTTTACAGTAAGTGCATTTGTATTTAATGCCATTATCAATGGAACATTTGTTACATAGGCAGATTCATCAGCCGGCAAAGTTTACGAGTCACACTGCTACGGTGATGTGCAATTCATTATAACCAGAAGAGCCAGGGTGATCCAGCAGCCCGACTATCATTAGAAAGCAGCATAAAAAAGAGAAGCAGTATCCTCTAAACGCGCCCAACATCATCACAGAATAAAATTGCGTCTATATCATACTTTTCGTTTCTTTGCCTTCGAAACACGAAGTCGTGCCGGCTTCACAGCTTCATCGAATGCAAACTATCTCTGTGTCCATGTACGGCATTGGAATGTTCAAGGTCTGGCATTTCCATTTTCTATCTTTATCACTCTGTGGTTGATTTTTCTCGTTGGCGCCGTTTGTTAAACGCTGTGAGATGCCGCGCTAATGCTGCAGTTCTTCCTCCATCGACGTCATGAAAGACAAACTGTCTATCATCTTCAAGCAAAACGTCGAGCGAATTCATTTCGCCACTTCCCCAGCGGCGTCCGTCGCTTTCGCGAGCGCTCCAATCGAAATTTACAAGAACCGTGAACGAATTCTATGCGATGGACATATACAGCGCCCACTGCGACACCGATGTCCTGAGGGCAGGCACGCTCGTTCGCTGGCTAATTCGATCGTACGCCGAACCGTCAAGTCAAAGCTGATATTCGGGAATCTTAGCGAATTAGTAAATTCATGAAGTCGCGCTTACGTTCAGCATTGCTCCGTCGCTCGAGATTTACAAATCACTTGCCAGAAAAAAAGGACAAGGCGCGAGTTACCATACTGCCGCATTGCTTCGTCTGTACACAAAATCACTTAGACGCCTCGTATTGGTGCAGTATTCATATACTATAGTAGCGCAGGCAGATGCTGTTATATTCTAAACTTATGATATATATTATTGCTTCTAAATGTATCCATTTTCAAGTTCCAATGCGTCGCTAACCATTGCTTTAAACTGCTGATTCGCAGCGTAAGCATTATGTCTACTTCCAGTGTCCTACATAAACCTTGTGGTTGTCCTTAAAATCTGTGAGTAAACAAGTTACGATTAACGCATCAGAGGAAGTTTCATTTTTGTGACAAAGTAAATGTGAAGTCCATGTCGGACATTTTGTGATTGTTTTTACCGAAGGAAAGAAAGGAGGCAAACTACTCAGCAGCCGACCGGCACAGCGAGTAGTGCGATGCGTATAAAAAGATGAAATCCTCTTTTGCATTTTGCGGGATTCAACTCTCTGGATCATCAAGCTATCTCTCCGGATTCGAGACAGCAGCACTATCCTTGCCGCGTTGGCGTCGCTATCCATGGTACTTCTGCTGGTCTTTCGCTTCTGGTTTTGCAGTGGTAACTACGGGCAATGCCAACACTGACTTGAGG